TTAAAGTGAATTCCGTTCCAGCAAAGTCCCGGCCAACAGCCTTTCAAGATACAGACCTTTATCAGGCTTGGAGAGTTGCCGGGCCAATATCTTCCAAACACCACGCTGTAACAGCAATTACTTGGCAAGAAGTCAGAAAGCAATACATTATAAGGTCATCACCATCCCTGTTGTGGACCACCGGCGGCCAGCGGATCTGGCAGCACATTCAGAGAGTGAGGAGGTTGGGGAGGAACATGGGCTAGTCCTGGAGTCTGGGGAAGGCTCTGACGAGGGCTCTGCGTTGGAGGCAGAGAGGGGGCCAGGGCCTTCTGACAGTTATCAACTGCCTTCGGACTCGGACATCAGTGGGGCAGAAGAACAGCTGGAGCTTGTTCCCAGTGTGCGCATGCGCAAAGCTGCCAGGAGAAGGGAACAGCTAAAGAACAAGGGCTGACTCGGGAGTAAAGCTACAGGTGGACGATGAATGGCCCCTCCCAAAGGGAATAAAAGAGGAGCGAAAGGGGAAGGGAGTTTGCAGGAGACAATTAGTTCAATTCATTAGGGTGAAAGATCTGTTCCTGACTTCTTGCCAAGTAATTGCTGCTACAGCGTGGTGTTTGGAAGATATTAGCCTGGCAACTCTCCAAGCCTGATAAAGGTCTGTATCTTGAAAGGCTGTTGGCCGGGACTTTGCTGGAACGGAATTCACTTTAAAACTAAATAAATGGGGTTTTACCAGGACAAGGAGTCGGCTTTGTGCTTTTGGGAAGCCCTGGTCAGAACAGTCCCATCGCTTTTCTCCAGATGCACATTTATGAGAAAACTTAGCGATCTGGAGGAGACATCCAAAGGCAAAAGTGTCTTCTCCTGCTGCTGCACCAAACCATCTCCTATACTCCTCAAGGCTGTAGTGAAACCTGGCCCTGAGTTGAGGGGAGGATGAAATAGCCGAGTAGCCTTGAGTCCCTTGTGGGGAGGAAGAGACTGAAGAGTGATCGTCCCTAGAATTTCACAGTATTTATCTAATCGTTATGCAATCTGTGCTTTAGTCGGGCAAGATTCCTGTCTACAGGCGAGCAGCAATAGACATTCCACTCTAATCGGCTCATTGTGTCATTTCTGATTCCTGACAAGGTGCTTTTAAAAATGGCAGATGTGGTTTGTCCCCTCCTACCTTTCATCTTGATATGGAACTCTCCCAACTGGCTCTCCAATTCACTCTCCAACAGACACATGTTCTGCATGGGGAGAACATCGACAACCAATTGTTAATGCCGTCAACCCAGGAACTCTCCTCTTGTTTCCCCCTCCCCAACCGATTTCTCCCTCCCCGAGTGCCAGCCATCTTGACTCACTTCTGTGTACTCCTTGTAGCCCTTGCCAGCTTCGGCCAAGCTCTCCCGGGCCTCCTTGCTGCCAGGGGAACCAGCTGTGTAGGCCTTGACCATGTTGTGGGCTCCGTCCCGGAGCCGTCGCTGGATGCAATACGCCTCGTAGAGCTCATCGATCTATTGAAAAGAAACATTGGAGGGAGAATGGGTGTGAGGAGCTGCAAAGTGGTTGAGCAGAAAGGTGAGGCCGCTGTAAGGGCCCCTGCTGATATATCCAGAAAGTTTGACTCGCAGACCACCCTGGGTTACGCAACAAACTATTTGGTCTTCAAAAGGCTCTTCCTTATCTTTACGGAATTACAACATATCAGGGGTGGAAGGTCTTCTTGTCCATCCCCCTGCTCAAGTAGGAAACCCTATACCAGGGATGGCAAACCTTTCCGCCACCGAGTGTCGAAAAGGGAGCGCAGATGCGCACGCTCGGGGTCTCAACCTGGAAGAGGAGCTGCCCAGGGGGCTTGCGCATGCTGGCATGCCCAACCAACAGGCCAACCAGTCTTCCGGTTACTAGCATGCATGCATGCGCGACAATCAGCTGGCCACGCGCACGCTCACGCCAGAAAATAGAAAACCAGCTCTTCCAGTTTCCTGCCACACGCACGAAGGCCAGCTGATCAGGGTGCGCGCATGCGCTCCAGAAACCCGAAAGAGGAACGGGTGCCGCCGCACATGCCAGGCGACATGGCTCCGCGTGCCACTTCAGGCTTCGCCATCACGGCCCTATATTAATTCCGGACCAATGGCTCTTAGAGCCGAGGTGGCGTAGTGGTTAAATGCAGCACTGCAGGCTACTTCAGCTGACTGCAGTTCTGCAGTTCGGCTGTTCAAATCCCACCGGCTCAAGGTTGACTCAGCCTTCCATCCTTCCGAGGTGG